AATCGTACGAAAATCCAGCGGCATAACGGCAGTATACGGAATTTACACAAAAATTTCTAGAATCAGAAATTACCAAATTAATACAGAACGTGCACAACAACAATATAAGACTTTTATTCTACTGCTTAAACAAATTCCGACATCATATAAATTTACAGTCAACATAAAACACTGCCGAATCAAAACTAACCGGTCGAAATTCTCCAGAAAATAATCAAAGCGTTCAGAAATACTATATCAATAACATACCAAAAGTTGTGCGGTGAAACTTTCGTCAATACAGAACGGTGCGCATTTTTCGGTAACAAAAACACAAATCTGAGCACAAAATTATCAAAACTCAACATTTTCGAAAACAGAAATAGGATTCGGAGTCCTTACTGCGAGATAAACACTTCTCCTAACACCGGCGACGGACGAAAAGCGCTTCGCGGCCTCCGAGATCCAGTTTTTCTTTGCTTTCCTTCTCCTTCTCTCTCCTCAGATATTTTTTTTATAAAAATGATTTTCTCTCTCATCAAATCGAGCTGATTTTCTTTTAAAACAAAACTGATTGACCCGGCCGATCGCCACATCGTCCAGGACGATATGAACAAAAATCCAATCGTCCAGGACGATATCTCAGGACGATAATTAATTTCTTTGGACGATAAAAACCTTTGCTCACTGACTTTTTCCATGCACTGATCGTCCCAGGACGATCCAAAATCGTCCCGGACGATCCTGGGAGGAAATCAGATCTTGGAAGGCAAATCGAAGGAACGAGCTCTCACAGTTATTATCTTAATTTTCTCCCAAAATATTTTTATTTTCTTCCTGATTGTCGGATTGCACTTCCTCAATTTTTAAACTCAAATGACTATTAATATTATCATCAATAACTTGCTTTGTTGACATCCTATGTGAAAAAAACACCCAACAAACAAAAGAATTTTAAAGATATCCACCATAAACAATTTTTGGATATATAGTTAATAATAATAATTAATAATCATTCCAAAATATCAGCTTAACTCTGTAATCTTTTACAAACAAAAAATTATTGAAACATACTTGAACAATAACAATAGACACCGCATAACATCATCTTATTTGCTAATAAATAAATATATTGACATATATGAGACTATTTGAACAATGATATTCCAAACAACAACATCAAGTCTTTATTGTACTATGTGGGACCGACTACATGAATCCTTTTTCTACATTGTGCCCTGTTAAAAGTTAAATTCTCATTTAAATCTAATAAAGACGGGTAATTTCTAATATTTTTCAACCATGTCTTTTATAGGTCTACCTCTCCCTTTTTTAACATAAGTTAAATCTAATACATATACTTTCCTAACTGGGTCATCGAAAGGCCACCATTTTATATGATCAAACCATCTAAAGCGACTAACTTTAAACTTATCTTCCACTAGAGCTACTCCAACCTTTTCACGTATATGCTCATTTCGTATCATGTCTCTTCGAGTAAAGCCACTCATCCACCTGAGCATCCTCATCTCTGCAACACTTAACTTTATATTATGCTTCTCTTTTATTGGTCAACATTCTGCACCATATAACATTGCAGGTCTAACCACTATTTTATAGAATTTTCCCTTATGTTTGAGGGAGACTTTTTTTATCACACAGCAAACCTGATGCATTCCTTCACTTCAACCATCCAACTTGAATTCTACTAATATTATCCCCGTCTATTTCACATTCACTATGAACAATAGACCCAAGATATCTAAAACATGTACTATTATTAATGACTTGATCACCCAAAGTCACACTCCCCCCACTAGAATTATTATTACTAAAATTTCACTGTATATATTCAGTTTTAGATCTACTCAAATGAAATCATTTAGACTCTAAGGTTGACCTCCATAATTTAAGTTTACATTCAACTCCTTCTCTAGTCTTATCAACAAGAAGAATATCATTAGCAAAATGCATACCAGGATACAACCGCTTGCAATGTCTAGTGAGAACATCCAGAACTAAAGCAAAAAGATATGGTCTTAAGGCCGATCCTTACTGTAATCCATCTGAAATAGGAAAATACTTGGTCAAACCACCTTGTGTTTGAACACAAGTAACATCTCCTGAGTACATATCCTTAATGACTTGAATATAAGCATTATTAATCTCTTTCTTTTCTAGAAGTCTCCATAACACTTCTCTTGGAACTTTATCATAATCTTTCTCTAAATAAAAATATCTCATTCACCTTTGTTGAATATCTTCTTCTAATAAAAGTACTTTTTGATCTTCATCCTTAATACACTTCACTTGAACTAAATTCTTACTACTCTTATCTCTTTGTTTGACTAACTTATACATATATTTTTCACCCTCCTTAGTATCTAATATATTATATAAATCATTAAAAGCTAAAATCTTTTCATTGCATATTGCTATCTTAGACTCCTTATGGTACATTTATATCTTTCCCAATTATCAAATTTTTTACATATAAACTAATTTTTATAACAAATATTCTTATTTTTTTATCTTTTCTTGAATATTTTAATTTTTCCACTAACTATTTTTACTATTAGGAGCTTTTTTCTTTGATAATCCAATCACATCTTTTGCAGCATTCTTAATTATCACGAGCTACATTTTCCCACATAACATTAACTTTTTCAAGCACAGACAACATCTTAAGATCTAGTATCTTACTCTAAAAAATATTTTTGTTAATATTTTTTAAATGCCACCCATCTAATCCTAAAATAATATTTTATTTTATTTATTATTTTCTATCACTTCATCGTAAAGTCCAAAACTAATAAGTGATGTTGGGTACATAAACCTTCACTTGGAATAATTTTAGAATATTTGCAATTTAAACAATTATTTTTCTTATAAGAAAATAATTAATCTGAGTTTTACTATATCCATTCGTATAAGTGATGAGATGCTCTTCTCTTTTTTTAAATAAGGTATTAACAATTACAAAATTATAAGTTAAATAAAAATCTAAAATGGTCTTACCACTTTTATTAGTCGCTCCAAACCCATAACCACCATGAATTCTTTTAAAATCATCTACATTTCTACCAACATGTCTATCTAAATCTCATCTAATAAAAAAATTATCTTCAAGACATATTTTTTGTATTAATTCTTTTAAATTATTCCAAAATTTTAATTTTGAATCCATATCTAAACCTACTTGTGGAGCATAAAAACTTATAATATTACTAATCTTACCATCAACAATAATCTTTGAAGCTATAATTATATTTCCAATTATATTAATTTTTTACAACATTATTCTTTAAACTCTTATATATAATCACACCTACATCATTTTGAGTCATCTTTACTATTATTCTTATATTCATATTTAGGTGGAGAATTTCAACCCTTTTAGTGAATGAATCTTGTGAGAATATTTACTCTATTTATATTTCTCCCTAACCTACCCCGAATCTCATTTCTTGACTACACTAAAATTCTCGCAATTGTTGAGAGGAAAATTGTCGATATACACATAAATTAAAATTCAATTAATAACGGATACCGGAGTGTTTATCTAGAGAAAAACTATGTGCCCTATCCCTCAACATCCTTTACCAAAAGAAAAATTTTCCCTCAATTTCATTCCTTTACGGAAATTTTTTTTTAATATGGACATTCTATCAATATTTATGAAGCATTAAAATTACTTGAATAGGAAGTTGTTGTCCATGAGAACATTCGGGTATTAGAAAAGGATGAAACATGGAAGCTCTCTATCTTGCTGAAGGGAAGAGAAACAAGTTGTATGGGAGCATTGAAAGACATAACTTACAAGATTAATTACTAATAAACATTTGCACCTATTGCCATGATTACATCAGTATGTTTTATTCTCTCTTTTATTGCTAACTTTTATTGGCTATTTCATCAACTAGTTATCTAAAATGTCTTCCTAAATGAGGATCTTGAAGATGAAGTCTATCTGACTATGCCACATGAATTTGCTACCACTAACAACTGCAAACTTAAAGAAATCGTTATATGGTCTAAAGCAAGCATCACGGGCATAGTTTGGCAAATTAACTATTATGGTTAAGAAATACGGATACTCTCAAGGTTAGGCTGATCATTCCCTTTTTATCAAGGAATAATCAATCCGTAAAATTATAATCCTCATTGTCTTTGTTCATGATATTATCTTAAAAAGATGATAACGAAGAAGAAATTGGCAGACTAGGACGTTACTTGATAAACAAAATTGAAATTAAATATCTCGGAGCCTTAAAATATTTACTTAGTGTGGAAATTGTTGGATCAATTAAAGATATATTTGTCTTTCTACAAACTATACTTGGTACTACCTAAAAAAATCTAATATGATAGGATGCAAGGCTGGCAATATTCCAATCGAGTCTATCAATAAAATTGGTTCCAGAAGTGATCTCCCTTGGGTGGACAAAGAAAGATACTAACTGGTTGCAATTCTAAGCTTTTCTTTGGCATTGATAGTCAATGTAACGTTACAATAAGACTGAAGAGTGGTTTCAATGGTCTATTGGGTATTAAATTTGGAATTACAGTGGTAGGAACCGTAGTTGAGGCATATTTATTCTTAAATGTGAACAGCTAAAGGGAATTACTTAGGGATTATAAATGATGTAAAATGAGTGCTTACATGTATGCATTTCTTGGGGCCCAAATGTGCATATTCGCTTTGAACATGATATGTTTTGTTTTGTGAATATCTATCTTCCCCGAACTCTATTTACTTTATATAGGATACAATTAGAGTAGCCAAATTTGTTTTGTGAATAAATTTAGTATTCCTTTTCATTTTCAATATTGAATGCATGCTTCAACCAAAAAACTGTCATGCTCATTCTCTCTGCATACTTTTAAAACTTTGTATTATTATTGGTTCCTTGTTTCAGCATCCTCCTTTATTATTGCAGTAACTTCATCGTATCTTTTCTTTTCATTTCATTCACCAATATTACTACAAATACTTTCCAATTAGTCGAGGTTGAACGTATTTTGATGTTTTGCATCAGGAACTTCCAGAAGGGAGCTGGTATTGTGAGAACTGTATTTGTAAAATCTGCAACAACCTAGCATGCAAGAAAGAGGATTCAAGTACCTTGTCTGTATTTGAATGCTCACAATGTGGACATAAATGTAATCAACCTATCCTCCTTTTGTTTGCTCACAAACTTCTTTTAGGTTGTGACCTTTGATAAGTGACAGCTACATCAATCCATGTTTTTTGATATGCTAATTGCCTTGGGAATTCATTTTCTATGCATTGGTGCTATTTGAATCTCTGTTTAAGTTTTTGGCTTGATATAATCTGCATTTTGGAACTATTTTCTGCCCAAGAAGCTAGGCTTCCAATTATCATCCAGCCTACTTTTCTCGTCATGTTTCTCTTTTTTTTGTTTTCATTTTTTTGTTTTATTAGAATGTTTATATTTAATTTTCATGATGGATTATTCTTCCACTTGTTTATTCTTATGTTTGGCTACCTTATTTTCTTATTCAGCTGAATACCTGAATCACGTCATTTATATTATTTTCAATTATTTGGGTTTAAACTCTGGCTATTCTTTCCACAACCAGATCATGGAACATGCTTCATGGACAAATTTGGTCATTGCGAGGATGCTGGATCTAATACCTGGTTATGTGGAGATAACTGTAAGAGGGTAAGTTAAATGCAGTTACTGCCCTTTTCTGAAATGCCAACCTAGTGCCATATTCTGTAACAGAATAATGCCTGGGTCTTCATCAACATTCTTATAAAAAAAGTAATTTCATTCTCAATAAAATTGCTGGCGGATTCTGGCTTACTCACGAGTGGTTATTTCTCTGAATTTATTAATTTATAGTTAATCATACTATATCTGCTCATTACATAATGAGATTATGTTGTTGTATATCTATTCTTCCGGCCTTTTGAAATTTATAATTTCTTCTATAATAGTTAAGTCAACATAAACCTAAAATATTATCTGTTATTTTGCTAGTACACTGTGATTTAAAATTAGTTGTTACATAAAAGGACAATTTCTTATTTTAATACATTTTTGATGAGATGCACTAAACTCATGCTATATGTTTTATTCATTAGATAATATTTCTTGAGGAGTCAAATTTGATTCTTACTTACGATGATAGATTTTTAGCTACAATGTATTGGTTTGGTATGTTCATTTTACCATGGTCTATAACTATAAGAAATTCATATAAATCTTTTGTTTCCAGATCTTGGTGCATTAATAATCTGCAATATTGCTTAATTTACATAATAAATAGATAAAAATCACCATAATTATTTTGAATGTTATGGCTGTTGATGCCTGCTATCTTTGAGAGGTTGATTTTACTGCCTTGTGAGCTAAATTATATCTAATTAACCCAAAATTAGTAGAATTTATTCTTTAAGAAACAGTTCTTATAGTAGAACTGAGCTTACTGGATTTAGTCTGGCTTTAGAAAGCTTTGTGTGGCAAGCTAAACAAGAGAGGAGTGCCTAATTAAAGTTAGATGCAATGACTCTTGGGAAGAAATAAAGGGTCCATAGCAAGAAATGGAAATTTTTTGCCTTGAAGGAGGCATAATCTTAGCCCCATCTTTTAATATTAATGAATGAAGTAGATATCTATCATAATTAGGTCATGCTCAACTCAACAACATTAGTGGGAGCTTGAGCTGTAGGTTAACTTAGTTTTTAGAGGATAACTCTAGCCCAAGCTTGGTTCAGGCCTCACCTGAGCTTAGAAAATCGATGAGAATGGAAAAAGTGAGGAAAAGGTGAGGAGAATGAAGAGATAAAAAAGAATTCTAAAGAAAAAATTGATGAGGATGAAGAGCAGGCTACCCCGGAAGCGACGCCTTGTATAACGTGAATACAGTGAGAAGTGCACACGGGGTGATGTATCGACGCCCGTGTATAGTGTTAAAAAAACAAGAGTTCCCACATTACAGACAGATGTGGGCAAAGAAGATAGTCCATGTAAATAGAGTTTGTATAGGAATTTAGAATATAGGTTCTCTTACCAATAAATTTAAATTAATAGAATTAATAGATATTATGATTCATAAGAAGATAAATATTCTTATATGATGGGACAGAATATGAAAAATAAAATAAAATATTGTCTTAGAATTAGACGAGGACATTTAAATTACACAAACAAAAATATTTTTGAGAGTAAGATTCAAGATCATAAAATTCTTACTGTACATGAGGAAACTAATGTTATAAGGGAAAAAATAGCTAATGACATTAAGAAATGTTGCAAATAATGTATTTAGAATATTAAAAGGAAAAGCTCTTAATAGTAAAAAATAGTTAATGGTGGAATGAAAATGTGCAAGAAAGATAAAAAATAAGAAGTTTTTTTTTTTTTTATAAAAAATTGTTTAGATGTAAAAACTCAGAAAATTGGGAAAGATATAAATATGTCTGTAAGGAGTTTAATAAAATAATATGTGATGCAAATAATTTAGGTTTCAATGATTTATTTAATATATTAGATACTAAGAAGGTTGAAAAATGTATGTATAAGTTAGCAAAGCAAAGAGATAAAAGTAAGCATTTAGTTCAAATGAAGTGCATTAAGGATGAAGATCAAAAGTGCTTTTATTAGAAGAGGATATTTAACAAAGGTGCATGAGATGTTTTGATGAGCTTTTCAATGAAGATTGCAAGAATACAATTGACTTTAGTGACCTTATGTAAAACCCAATTTTGAGTAGGTATATGTCACCTTTAATCCATTTGAATATAACCCACAATTCCAACTCTCACGAAATTCAGAAAATTTGATAGTATTGTATTTTACTCATTGAATTGAGCGATTCGATATATAGAATTATATGTAGAATTGTTAAGGATTGAAATTTAGGGAACTAAATTTTATTTGTATTTTTTCCTAAGTAATAAATTATATTAATTGTGTATAAATGTGCATTACTGTAGCAAGGGCAATACTATTTTTTTAAGGAGCATGTTCCACAGCATGCATTGGCTGGGAGGTGGGCATGTAGGTAATTAAACTGGATAGTGCTTTTAATTTGTTAAACAATACTTAGTGCTTGAAACGGTGGTTCCAGCCAATCGAGTATTGAATCCTTTCCTTCCTGGAGTCGAGGTGGTGTGGACCAGTGGGAGATCGCGAGGGTTGGGAGCGGATCAGGCAGCTGCGGCTAGAGTGGAGGTAATTACCTTGTGAGTAATCAGGTGAGTACATATTTGGGGGCATGATGGTGGGATTGTTGAAGGTGGCTGTGAGAGGAAGTGGTTAGGGGGTGATGATGGTCCCGTAAATTAGGCGAGTGCAGAAGATGTCGGGCAGTTTTTTATTTTTTTATGTAGTAGTTGCTGTTAGGTGCTTCTTTGAGTAAGCGGGGTGCTGTAGATGATGTGAATAAATATGCTGCTGTTGGGAGTTGATGTTAGGTGGATCTACTGCTTGGGAGAAGCTGGAAAGGAATCTGCTGCTGTAGATGGAAGAAGATAGTGTTAGATAAGGCTGATTTGAAAGAGAAGAGGAGGAAGAGAAGGTGTTGGCTGTTGTTGACTAGTGGGAGTAGACTCGAAAGCAGTAGAGTGAGAGTGATTATAAGGAATTTATTTTGTACTCTATTTTAGTATAATTGTGTATGTATCATTAGTAAAATTGTATCCAAAATTTTGTAGAATGGGAGAAAAATTTTGAGGAAACAACTTAAGCTGTTCATGTGAAGGGAAAATTGGAAGGTGCCTTATATGTGTAAGTGGACACAAGGTATCCAACTGGGTGAAGCATTGCATCATAGAGGCAAGATATGTGTTTTTATTACGATATGTGAGTTATCGAGTATTGCTTATATACCTGCAATTGAATTGGTAGTGGGTGATATATGTTTTTCTTTTTTACCTTTTTTTGGAATTATTATAAGATGATAATCCATACAACACTTCACTTATAACTGCTTGTAATATGTTACATAACGCAAACATGAACATGCAATGATCTGATAAGTGTTGGAGATTATCATGTTAGATGTTAGGTGGATAGGGCAATGCAACTCGGATGGGCGGTGTGACCCAGTAGAGGCAACGCGACCTCAGTTAATAAGCCTAAGAGCAATAGAGTCCGAGAGACCTCAAGTGGTAGTGCGATCTCAGAAAAATATAGGCGGAAGACCTCGACCTAAATGTTTTGACATCACATCTCCTAGGGTTGAAAAAGGGAATTATTAAATGAATGACTTATGCTAATATGGAGGAGACATATTAGAAAATAACCGACATGGTAGAATGTACAAACAATGTGTCATTTCTTTTTATGCGACTAGCTTGATTTCATGAAATTAATATTGAATTCTGCATAACATTTTATGTGTAGCAGTATCTTCACATGTTATGATTTAACCTATTATGCATAATTTCTTTGTAATGATATTTAACCGTGTTCTTACTTTCACTTATTGATGCACATGAAAGTCTTATTTTCTATATGTGACCATTGTATTAGAGACGTATATCTTTATGGTAAATTATGCTCACCAGATGATTATTCTGGCTCATGTTGGATAGGGGAAGGAGAAGATTGAACCACAATAGAGTAATTTTTGCTTGTATTTTGTTTATATATATATATATATATATATTTGTTGATGTAAGAAGACTTTTGAGGTTAGTAGCTTGTGTTAGCCACTTATTTTGGGTCGTAATAGACGATCTTAAAAAGAAAATTTTTGGAAATGAAAATTTTACTATTTCCGCTTATAATCTATGTTTTAAGTTATGATATTCTTCTTATATTGTTCTGCAGTTAGCTCGTGTATTATAATAAATCTAAAAGTAATTTAAGTTATTGACAGCCATCGTTACTACATTCTGTGTCGACTTGCTAACGTAGAACCGACGTGGGGTGTGACAAAAGTGGTATCAGAGCAAGTTTTAAAGGTTAGGAAAATTGTTACGTATGCAATATTTGACATAATGTTTAGGTTGAAATGATTAAAATTTTACAGAGTATATATGTGATTAGTCTTCTAAGATGGAATCTAAATTTTAGGCTCAGGTCAGTGTACTAGAGAAAAAATCAATGTCTAACTTAAAACCTAGAAGGACCTTCTACTCAAAAGCAATATTTTTTTTTTGAGTTCATGTTTGAGATATACTGTAGTGCTCATATGTAATTATCTTATTTTTTGTACCATGGGTTATGGCTGAAAGAGTTCCTGAGGGAACTAGTGGAGGAGATCAAAGGACGATGAATTTTGGGTTATTTGATGAATTTCAGAGATCATAGGATGATGAATTTCAGAGATCAAGTGATTTGAATTTTGGGTTATTTGATTGCTCAAATTAAGTGAAATCTTTTAAGCTTGTAAGTGCCATAAAATAGAACAAATTCAGCAGTTTAAGTTCTTAAACTAGAAATTTGTTAGACAGATAATTTCATTTAATAAGAAATAGGCTAACTATAATATTATCATGACCATATGTGGCTGTGCTTTTACCACTTTGCCTATTCTTGCTTTAAGATTAATATGTTTGAATATATGGTCAATCAGGTAGGCTTTTAGGTTGAATTAACCAGCCATATATGGCTGAGTTACCTCACTATTGATTAATTTTTTAAATAATAACAATTTTCATAATAGAATTTAATGAAATTACAGCTTGGTTTTGTAGGAAACATTATGTTGGTTGAGTAGAGCTTGGAGTTCAACTTAGGACAATTTCTTATGTAGGGTCTGCCACTATGATGCATCGACACTTCTTCTCAAAGAGCCGTGCCATGTCCGACACATATTCAACACGACACTCCTCCGACACATGTTGAACATGCCGAAAACGTGTCTGATTAAAAAAATATTAAAATTCAAATTGGACACCTGTGTCTGTCACGCGTGTTTTAAATATTTTATGAAATTTTTAAATATAATTTCTTGTATTTTAAATTTTTATTTCTTAAAAATATAAAAGCTAAATTTTTATTTCCTCTCCACAATACCAAATCAATCACCCGCACTTAACACCCCATTCAACAATATTCTCATTTTCATTTCTCTTTGGCGGATCATAACTTTGGTTTCACAACAATGAACAGTGTCATCTCAGCATCAACATCACATGCTGTTACAACATCAACATTTGAAAATTACTCGACATTAAAGTCTTACACTTTTTGATATTGATGTTTGACATTAGCAATTTCTAGACCCACAACTTGATAACTCATCTTTGTCTGATGTTGTCTTAATATCGATGACCAACACCCTCTTGACATCGACAATAGACGCCCTCTCAACATCGACGCCCAATACTTACTGCACAACATCGATGTTGGACTCTCGACAATATTGCCCTCTCTCGATAACTGATACATGGTATCGACTCCCGACTCTCGATATTTTAAGCAGAAGTTCTAGTTAAATTTCTTATTTTTTAGATTATTTTTAATATTATATTAACTCAATTGCTATATGCTATTTAGAATATTATGATACCATATCCAACCCATGTCTATGTCTTGTATTTTCAAGTATTAACGTGTCCCGTATATGTGTCGTGTCGTATATGTGTCGCCGTGTTTGTGTCTATGCAACATAGGTTTGCCATCATCTAAAGCCAAAATCTTAATCCATTAGGTGAAAGTTAACTTCTAGTCTATCAACAATCAACAAAAATAGATGTTGAACTGAAATACATGTGCAATTTAAAAAATCTCCTCATGGTCACCTTAATTTACATGCCCCCAACTTTTATGCTAAATTGACCAATTAAAATAATTCCTTGTCATGCGCCAACGGTGGAAATTAAAGTTCATTCCATTGCATATAAGCAACATGTAAATCATTTGCCATTGAACTTGCTTAACTATGAGTTATCCTAAGGCCATACGTGCAATAAATTGGGTCAACTCATTGAATTATTGTTTCTTATATCTTCTTATTGAGAAGATGAAAGGATGGACTCCAAGATGGGACATTGACCTTCTAATGTGTGGTACTTTTTGATCCAAAAGCTTGAGGCATTAGGTGGTGGGAACCACTATAGCAACACCTTAAGACATCAGTGCAGAAGTATATTTTGGTCGTCTAGGATCCTTCACAAACATATTATTTGTCTATTTGAAGTGTGGTTTGTATTTTTTCTTTTAATTATGTACCATCCATCTGATGAAATATTGAAGAAAATTTCAGTGCAAAACATCATTGAAGCCTCAGTCTAACATGATTCCTTACATATGCAACAATTATTTGGTAATGCCGGCATTATATACTATTTCAGAGATGTATGCTTTACTAGAAGAGCTTACAGTAAGAGATATCGAGAAAATTGTGAAAGTGGGAGATGCTTATTCACCTTCATTAGCTGAAGGCTGGCCTATCATATCATTGTTTTGATATCAATTGAGCAGGAACCTTTTTCTCAGATTACATTTCCTTTAAATAATTGAATTGCCTGATGTTGACAGGTTTTTTTGGGATTGCGATCTCGTGTTGGGATGCCAAATATTATTGAGGATGGATTATCATGGACTATTTTGCGATGCAATCATGATGATCAAAATGTTTATTCAACACAAAAAATTGCACTAATGGCTGAGTGCAACTCAAAGTTAGCAATAGCTTTGACTTTAATGGAAGAATGCTTTGTTCCAATGGTGGATCCTAGAACTGGCATTGACATCGTACCACATGTCTTATACAATTGGGGGTGAGTGAGTTTATTTAATTGTTTACTGGATGCTAATGTTTTCCAAAACTATTTAAATCTTGAATGTTCTTTTGGTTAGATTGTTGAACATTTCTGGCTTGCATTGTTTATGCATGGTAATGCAACTACATTTTAGTACCTAGTATCGTTTGTGGAGGATCTCCCTTGCACATTTTTGCATTAAAGTTGCCAAAACTTTCATCAGAAGTATCATGATTTTCTATGGAGTTAGTGTTGTCATGATGTTTATTTTTATAATTAATCCAGCATTCTCTTGTGGAATGTTGATACAATTAAGGTAAGGTATACTCTAGTAGGCACATTGTACCAGCTAAAAGATGAGATTTGAATGGATGATGCTGTTTGGATATCTAGTCCAAGCTCTTTGTGTTTCAAATAATCTAGATAATAGTTAGTGAAGAAAGCATGTTGTTAATACATTGTGAACTGTTCAATTTGACATTTCATTCTCTTTTTCTTCATCTTGATGTGTTTTGTGCAGTTAGCTTATTATGAAATATAATTAGGAATTCGTTACATAATGAGAATACAATTTATGAATATTTTTGTTGTTTCTTTTTTATGACATTTATTGTCTTATTTTTTGTTCTATTGTATTTACCATGTATGCTTATAACAATATACACCTTTGTTTAGTGAATACCATCATCTAAATTTCTTCACGTAACATTTAATTAGAGCATCAAAACCCTAGCTATTTTTCTCATCCTAATTGATTTAATTATGATCTTCTAATCCCCTCTAGACTCTTCATTCTCTGTATTGATCCAGCAAGCTGCTTGTGCTTGCTACTATTACACACAATCTCACTACTTGCGCTTGATTGATTTATTGTTCTCGTGCATCACTTCTCTTTGCACATCATTGTTCCGGTGCACTGCGCTTGCTTGTTTCTATAAATCATTGCTCCCTTGCCTACTCACGTGTTGCCTGCTTCTCCAAACTACAAGCCTTCCATGCTTGCATATTCATGCCACCTTCTTTGTCTGCCTAACTGTGGTCGCTCTCCAACACTCTCATGTTGCCATGCTATCAGGTTATAATGCCCATGCCCTAAGCCATACACGCCATCTATGCTCTTGCTGTGTATGCTCACTATCCTGCTCGATAGTATGGGCACCATTATTCTTCTTCACTACCATATTTTTGTCTCCTACCCTAACCAGCAGTTGTACCAAATCTTACTAGTCATTTGCACTGCACAAGGAGACAAGTTTTGAACTTTTAATATACATAATTTGAGCTTTTCGTTGGTTCTTTATCTCTCTTTAGGATATCATGGTTTTTCTCTTTTTTTTTTTTTGAGATAAAAATCAACTCTACCATCGAGTCTGCAATTAAATTTAATGGTGGCCATCATCATAATGATCTATTTACCATGTGTTTTTATTATAGATGCATTTATCATTCTCGTAAGCAAGATAGGGATGATGCAGTTTCCCTTTGATTTTTCAACATGAATAACTTTGGGTTATTGACTTCCTCTAATTCTAGCCTTATAACTATCCCTTAAGATGAATATAATCGACTGCTTTCACAGATGATGATATGTTTCTTAGTTTGTACGGTGACCTCTTCCTCATGCTCTAGTGCTATTGCATCTAGTAATATGTCTTAGGTTTTAGGTTTAGGAGAATCTGCCCGCATGATAAGTAAGATAAGTAATATTCAGTTATTTTCTTCATTGAACATGTATTTTGCTACCCGACCTCATTGATTTTTTTTTCTACAAATTTTATAACCTGTCCTTGCATGACTCGCTGAGGGAAATGATGAAATATCCTCTTCATCTAAAGGACAGATTAAATAGATATACTGACATATATGAGACTATATGAATAACGATATTCCAAACAACAACATCAAGTCTTTATCGCATTATGGGGGGTTGGCTACATGAATCCTTTTTCTCCATTGTGCATTGTTAAAAGTTAAATTCTCGATTAAATTTAATAAAGAAAGGTAATTTTTAATATTTTTAACCAAGCCTATTTAGATCTAACTCTACCTTTTTTAACATAAGTTAAACCTAATACATCTACTTTTCCTAATTGGGTCATCAAAAGAAAATCATTTTATATGATCAAACCATCTAAGGCGACTCTCTCTAAGCTTATCTTCCACTAGAGCTACTCCAACCTTTTCACGTATATGCTCGTTTTGTATCCTATCTCTACAAGTAAAGCTACTCATCTACCTGAGCATCATCATCTCTGCAACACTTAACTTTATTTTGTGTTTCTCTTTTAGTGGTCAACATTCTACACCATATAACATTGCAGGTCTAACCACTTTTTTATAGAATTTTTCCTTATGTTTGAGGGGGACTTTTTTATCACACAACATACCTGATGCATTCCTCCATTTCAACTATCCAACTTGAATTCTACTAATATTATCCCCATTTATTTCACCATCTCTCTGAACAATAGACCCAAGATATCTAAAACGTGTACTCTTATTAATGACTTGATCACCCAAAGTCACATTCCCTCAACTAGAATTATTATTACTAAAATTACACTTTATATATTCAGTTTTAGATCTACTCAAACGAAAGCCTTTAGACTCTAAAGTTGACCTCCATAATTTAAGTTTACCTTCAACTCCCTCTCTAGTCTTATCAACAAGAAGAATATTATTAGCAAAATGCATACCAGGGTACATCCTCTTGCAAATGTCTAGTGAAAACATCCATGACTAAAACAAAAAGATATGGACTTAAGGCTGATCTTTGATCTAATCCAACCGAAATAGGAAAATACTTGGTCAAACCACCTTGTGTTTGAACACAAGTACTAGCTCCTGCATACATATCTTTAATGATTTGAATATAAGCGTTATTAACTCCTTTCTTTTCAAGAACTCTCCATAGCACTTCTCTTAGAACTTTATCATATGCTTTTTCTAAATCAATATATATCATATGTAGATCCTCCTTATTCTTTCTATATTTCTCCATCAAACCTTTCAGTAAATGTATGACTTCCATAGTAGACCTACCCGGCATGAATCCAAATTGATTTTGAGAAACATTATCATGCCGCAACCTACGCTCCATAACTTGCTCTCATAATTTTAAAATATGACATATTAACTTAATTCCTCTATAATTTGCACACTCCTGTTCTTAACCTTTATTATTAAAAATAGGAATTAACACACTCATTCTCTATTGATCTTGCATCTTTTTAGTCTTCAAAACAGTATTAAATAGTTTAGTAAGCCAAGAAATTCCTTCATTTCCTAAGCATTTCCACATATATATTAGAATATCATCAGGTCCAACACCTTTTCCTCTCTTCATTTTTTTTAAAGCCTCTCTAACTTTGGTTTTACTAATACGCTGATAAAAATAAAAATTTTTATTTTCATTTAGGGTGCTAAAGTCACTAAGGTCAATCGTATTTTCACATTTTTCATTTAAAAGTTTAGCAAAATATCTCATCTATATTTGTTGAACATCATCTTCTAAAAAAAGTACTTTTTGATCTTCGTCTATAATGCACTTCACTTGAACTAAATCCTTACTTCTCCATCTACTTGTTTGGCTACCTTATAAATATATCTTTCACCCTTCTTAGTATCTAATATATTATATAAATCATTAAAAGTTAAGCTCTTTGCATCGTAAATAACTTTCTTAGATTCCTTATAAGTCTCTTTATAACTTTTTCAATTATCAGAATTTTTACATCTAAACTAATTTTTATAGCAAATCTTTTTATTTTTTTATCTTTTCTTGCATATTTGGATTTCACCACCAACTATTTTTATTATTAGGAGCTTTTCCCTTCGAAACTCCAAGCACATCTTTTGCAATAATCTTAATATAACTAGCAACTTTTTCCCACATAATATTAGCATCCTCATGCATGAACAAAATTTTAAGATCTAAAATCTTACTCTAAAAAATACTTTTGTTAATATTCTTTAAATGCCCCCATCTAGTCCTAGAAAATCATTTTACTTTATTTTTATTTTATGCCCTTTATCTTAAAGTTCAAAACTAATAAACGATGTTGGGTACATAAATTTTTATTCGGAATAACTTTATAATCTTTGCAATCTAAACAATCTTATTTTCTTATTAGAAAATAATCAATCTGTGATTTACTATATCGATTTTTATAAGTGATAAGATGTTCATCTCATTTATTAAATTATGTATTAACTATTAAAGAATCATAAGATAAAAAAATCTAATATGGGCTTACTACCTTCATTTATCATTTCAAACTCATGGTCACCATGAATGTTTTTAAAATAACATACCTCTCTACCAACATGTCCATTTAAATATCCTCCAATAAAAACTCTTTATTCATGTGGTATCTTTTGTATTAATTCTTCTAAGTCATTCCAAAATTTTAATTTTGAACCCATATTCAAGCCTACTTGAGTAGCATAAGCACATATAATATTAACAATTTTAGTATTAACAACAATCTTTAAAACATTAATTCTATCTCCAATTCTTCTAATTTTTATAACATTATCCTTCAATTTCTTATCTATAATCACACCTACACCATTTCTAGTATGACTCCTACTTGAATACCATAGTCTATATCATGAACTATCAATCCTCTTAGCCTTCTCTCCAACCAATTTAGTTTCCTAAATGCACAGAATATTTATCTTCCGAAGAATCATAACATTTATTAATTTCATTAGTTTTCCTGTAAGGGAGCCTATATTCCAAGTTCCTGTCTTAATTTTTGTTTTATGGACTAGCTTCTTTGCCCGCATCCGTTCTTTATGTGGGAACCCTTGCCTATTTAACACTGCGCCTGGGCGCCGGTGCAGCGACCCTTGCACATTGTCGTTGTATTCAGACCATACAATACGTCGCTTATAGGAGATGCTCTAGCATTAACACATTTTTTTACAGAATACATGTCATGATTATTCGATAAGTTTTATGTTGGCTGTTGACTATCTAACGCAACCCTCCACTTTTCTCATCCAGGACATGG